TCAAAATTGCTCTGCTGAGTTATTATGATCACAACCCTGCTCCAGACCGGAGATGTTTCATTATCTCATCTTCCCACTCCGAGTGAATTTGCTGAGTGATTTTAAGAAACAGCAAAAGGCTGTGACCAATTTTCAGGCCTTCTGCTTTAGCCATTAAAACAAGACAAAAAAAAAAAAAAAAAGCTACAACATTTCAGTCTTGTTTTTCTAAATAAAAATAATGTATAGTCCTAACTTGCTAATAAATATGCTCAAAAGCTGTCCTTAAGTAAAAGCTTTTGATAACAAATTGCCTGCGCTAACTGCTATTTTACTGTTGAATTTTTTATTGTTGCTTAAGCACTGCAATTATGCTAATAAGCCTGAGAGGATGGTACACTAAAGCATTGAATGTGACAGATATAATACTCAATAAAATGTTAATCTTACCTGAAAATTGGAATCTAACAGCCTTATTAGTATTTATGGATATGGCATCTCCAACATGTTTCTTAAGAGGAATATATATATGCAATAGATATTTCGAAATATACCCTGCTATTTTTCATGCCTCCATACAATTTAATTCAAGGTGGCGATTACCCCTGCTGCTAATTGCCATTCCCTTTTGGAATAAGAAAAACGAACATCAGCATCTGGGCCATGCAAAAATTCCTGCATGTTGGAGGGCTTTTCCCCTTGGCATCTAAAGGATGGCAGCTATTCATAGAGATGAGGACACCTCTCCCCAACCCATGGCAGGGCCACTAGGCGTGACAGGGTGCAACAGCACACAGTGAAGGCACTGCTGTGCCACCCTCAGCCATCTTTTTTCTTTTTTACATGCAAGCCAGTACAACCAGCATAGACTTAAGTTATTCACAGGTGCTGGAGAAATGGCTTTTAGACTTCAAGATGGGACCAAACACTAATTTATTTTACTTTGAAAGTTTTTGGCTGATGCTAACAAATAACCAGATCCATCTGTTTCACTGCAAGTTACAGCACTGCAGGGTTGGATTCGGAGCCGCTGGGCTGTTGCAGTGGATCAGTCACTGAGGTGCTGCACAACTTTCCACAAGTCACATTGCATTTTGCACTGTTATTCCACCACCCAGTCCCACTCTGCTTTCTCAATTGATAATTTTTTTTTTTTTTTTTTTTTTCCAGGAAACAATCCACCTTTCACCACATTTAGGTTTTAGGGATTTTTTTTGCCAAACCTATGGGTCTCAGACCTAACCTCAGGGTTCCACTGCTATGCACTTTCCTGTGGGTAAAGCAAGTGGTCTTCAACACCTTTACTTTGTCATCTATGAAAGGAGGAAAAAAAAAGCCCCAAAACTCAGAAGAGCCACATGCTCGTGACAAACTACATTTACATCCATGACCAGGCACTGCAGAAAGACCATTTCTACACAAGATGTGTTATTCTACACATTTTTACCAATTTGTAGAAATTCTACAATTCTACCAATTGTATAATTACTAAACAAGACTGATGTGGGTTTAAAACATTGTAGATTAATGCTTAAAGAGCAGCTACTGGCACCCAGCTTCACTCCTCATGCTGCCCTCACCCACAGAAGTCAATTCTGCTGACAGGATGGTAGAAACATCGATAATCAGCATTATACTTTCACAGACAAGGAAGATTCTTGCCACATTGGATGCTGCAAGCTTCCTTGGTGGCAAACATTAGGTGGGAGACATCTAGGAACTGTTCCGATGAACAATCACAGCACGGAAAACTGAGCCATAAATGTGGGATTCTCAAAGCACCTATAAGATCACAAAAAGCAACCCAAGGGTACTGCTCACAATGAACCATGATGCAGTAGGACTTTCTTAAGTAATGTGTCCCAATGCATGCTGGCTTACTCTCAGAGTGCAAGGATGGAAACAGGACTGCTTTGCAGGACACAAAGAATACTGCCAATTGGCTGAGCTTGCACCTCAGAGAGCCAGCAGATGCACCAGGGACTCCAAGCTAGTTCCAGCACAAGATGCCAGATGCCAAACCTTCAGGTGCAGCCAGCAACTCTCATGAAGGTGGCAGGACTCATCTCTACCATGTTAAGTAATTCTTGTCATTATTTTCAATCCTGCAGGGAAATCTAAATTGACCTTTGGCATATGGTTTTCTTTTGCTAAATAGCAATGCTTGAATGTTTATACCGACAAGTTATTTATGGGTATTCTTTGGAAACAATCTTACCCTGACCAGTCCAAAAGGTCAGAATCATGAAAAATAACAGTAAAAAAAGCACAAGGCTGGAAAACCATCACTGCCATTGGCACTATACCTCGACTTATTAACCGTCCTTGCAACGAGGTGAACTGCAAGGTTTTGGGTTTATTTGATTGATTGAGATCAAAAGATCGGGGGCACACAGTAAATTGTATCTTTCCATGAACATATTCTGCTTTCAAGATTTGAGCAGATACTTGCAGGAAAGAAAACCACACATAAACACGTACAAAAGTGACTTCAAAAAGGCATCCCCTTAATTCTCTCTTGACACCATCTGCATTTCCTAAAGCTATTTGAAAGTTTCTTCCATGTTCTTGTACCCCTGGGACACAACAGTTTATCTCTGCTAAACAGAAGATGACCGTGAACAAGAAGACACTAGCATAACTCCAGGGGAGACACCAATATCTGCTGACATTAAGGATGAAAGGTAAATATTAGGGAAACCAAACGAATCTCAAAGTCCAACAGGAGGTTGAAGAACTTCCCATTGAATTGCAGGTGTCTCACTATCCTTCTTAGTTGGACCACAGAAGATGAAGCATCTGAACCCTGTTTCTCTCATGATGACGGCTCAGAAGCTGCCTGAGCCCAAGATAGGTTTGTCATCTGCAGCACCCAGGAGAGTGAGGGAGAAGCAAGGGAAATAAATGAGCAGACATCTTCAGGACATAATTTCAAGACCCATCTGGTGAGACAGCATTTTTGAACACAGAAAAATCCTGCTGTGTTTGCTGTCAAGACAGGACAAAGAAACACAATGGAGAGCAGGAACAGAAAAAAAGAAAAAGAAAAGAAAAAAGAAAAACAGAACTTCCATTTTACTGCCCCCAGGAAACAGAGAGGAAAAATAATCATTTGCTTCTTTTCTGTGTTCCATGTTATCTGCATTTTGGTCAGGATACCTGTATCAGTAGCACTATGTTCTCATGTCATAATAAAGTAGATGGAGTTACCCACCTGAGAGTAACAGTAAAGCCCTTACATGAACCACAGAAAAGACAAAAACTCCCAGGAACTTGTTACAAAGGATCCAGAACTGATACAACCTCCTGCTTTTATCACAAGTTTACATTACTGTGGTGGGCTGACCCCGGCTAAACACCAGGTGCTCACCAAAGTTGCTCTATCACTCCCCTCCTCAGCTAGATAGGGGAGAGAAAATATAACAAAAGGCTCATAGGTTGACATAAGGACAGGGAGAGATCACTCAGCAATTACTGTCATGGGCAAAACAGACTCAACTTGGGCAAATCAGTTTATTACCAATCAAATCAGAGTAGGATAATGAGAAATAAAACCAAATCTGAAAAACACCTTTCATCCATCCAACCATCCCTTCTTCCAAGGCTCAGCTTTACACCTGATGTTCTCTGCCTCCTCCCCATCAGAAGTACAGGAGGACAGGGAATGATGGTTGCAATCAGCTCATCGCATATTGTCACTGCCGCTCCTTCCTCCTCAGGGTTGGACTCCTCACACTCTTCCCCTACACAGAGGGGGGCCTCTCCCATAGCAGACAGCTCTTTACAAGCTTCTCCAATATGAGTCCTTCCCATGGGCTGTAGTTCTTTACAACCTGCTCCAGTGTGGGCTCCTCTCTCAATGAGGCCACAGGTCCTGCCAGGACCCTGGTCCAGCACAGGTTTCCCACAGGGTCACAGCCTCCTTCAGGCATCCCCCTGCACCATCTTGGGGTCCTCCATCATCTGCAGGTGGATATCTGCTCCCCTGTGGACCTTCATGGGCTGCAGGGGCACAGCCTGCCTCACAATGGGCTTCAGAGGAATCTCTGCTCTGGCACTTGGAGTACATCCCTTCCTCCTTCCCTCACCTTGGTTTCTCTTATCCCTCCAGCTGTAATTACTCCCACACTGTAACTTTTTCCCCCTTCTTAAAGATATTATTCCAGAGGCACTACCACCATCACTGATGGGCTCAGTCTTGGCCAGCAGCAGGGCCATCTTGGAGCAAGCTGACATTGGATCCATCAGACACAGAGGAAACTTCCAGCAGCTTCTCACACAAGCTGTGAGAAGAGGCCCTGTAGTGCTCGTGAGAAGAGGCCCTGTAGTGCCCCTGCTACCAAAACCTTGCCATGTAAACCCAATACAGTTACATGCCAGCAGCTGTGAATTAACCTCCTCTTCTATGAGCTTACACTTCCCTCCAGAGAGCATCACCTTTCAGGTAATAAAGACACTAAACCCCAACATTAACTGCTGTTGCATCAGGCCATCATCAGACCAGGCAGCTCCTTCTGCACAAACACACTGAGCTTTACCTTTTACCTTATCAGTTTTGAAGAAGGTTGAGATAAGAATTTCATGTGCTCCCATTTCTAACCATTGATGAGTTAAGGAGGACTCTCCAGAAGTCATCGAGTCCTTTGCCACACTGAGGGATTGGTTCTCCTAAAAGCATGTCTGCTGGAGTTTTTCCATCTTGTTTATAAACCTTTCCAATGACTGAAACTGCCTAAGATCTTCAGGCAATCCACTATTTTTAATAATGCTCAGCTATTTTTAATGCAGAATTTAATTTACTAATGTCTCTTCTAAGTTTTTCTTCCTCAAACTTAAGCTCATAATTTGTCTTATTTAGAGTGGGCACATTTACAGTTTATTCCCTCTCTCCATGACAAGCTCACTATTTCCAAAATTTACAAGCTGAGGCACCAGTGTGGTTTCCTCTCTCTATGCCATGCTGCTTCTGCTCAAAGCATGTTCTTAATCTTGTCTCTCTGCATGTGTATTTCTTTTCTTACCCTGACAGAACAGGCAGTTAGGATATCACAAGGCTGTTTCAAGAAAAGACGTTCACATCCAAAGGCTGATGCATTCAGGCACACCCAGTAATAAAGTACTCTGAAACAAGAAGAAGATTTGTCTTTAGGATGGTAAGCAGAGGATCCAGTAGTAAAGAAACCCCAACAACACTGAAGTGCAATTTCTTCCACACCATTATTTAACATTTAAACAGATCTTCAAAAGTAACATGAATGACTGTAAGACACATTACGCACCACCACTCAAACTTGGCCACAATCTCTTTGACAACCACCATAAGGGTTTGATAAATCTGTGGTTTATGAATCAAGGTGCTCACTAACTTCAAAGAATGTTCTGCCAAGTTATAAGAAATACCCAGCGCATATCAAAATCAGATGGCCCTGGCTCCAAAGCTTATTGACTGAGACAGAGGACAAATCTTAATGTTACTACTGATGACTTCATTTACAGTGTCACTGAAACTAACAGAGGCAAGACTTCTAGTCTACTGTGAAATTTGTGTGTGTGTAATTATAGGATAGACCCAGAGGAGAAATGTCAGTCTGATGAAAGACTGAGTAACCTTTGTGTTCACAACACAGGCCTTTACCTCCTGGTCTTCAGGATGTTTTATCCATCAAAAAGAACTCTTTCTCCCAAAACCAAGGGGATCACCAAGGGTTTGGTGATAGTGGGGAAAGAATAAAGAAAGGATTTACATGAACAGTGTTTGGAAACACAGAGAAGAGCTCTAAGCAACAAACATACCCAAATTTCATGAGAGAGAACAAGCAACACGGAAGAAAAGCAATAACACATTTGCCATCCTACTTTTGGAGGCTCTCAGAAAAACAGAACTAGATGGTAACAGGCATTTTGCCACAACAGCATCTTTCACCAGTGGATCACCTTTTGCATCACCATATCCTCTAAATTCCTATCTCTCCTTGGCAGAGGCTGCTGCTAGCCCCAAAGCATCAAGTGGCTTTGTTACAAATATGCCTTTTCCAAGGATTGAAGCCAAGAAACACTCAACTTGCCCCTTGCTATGAAAACAAGACGCATGTTGCACATCTAAGGCTACGCCAATGCAACAACTCAGGGTCTTCTCTTCTGCTGTTTTTTAAACTTTGCAATCCTCACGTGCCCTGGGCTTTTGCTTTCCTTGGTCTTTTTCACTTTTACCAATGCTAACACAGCCAGCCCAGCTGCTGTCAGCACAGGAAGGTGACATGCTCCTATTTACAACAGACTTGATAACAGAAGTGCTGTTTCAAGGCTAACGAGGAATACCTGCACCAATAATGTCCCTACAGCAGCACACAATAGCTGAGGAGACTGAGCAATAAATGCCTGTTACTGAAGATTAAGAACTTAAAAGTAATCTCAAAATGTATGATGGCTAACTAATAAAAAAGTTCAAATGTATGCCCATCTTGGAGAGTGAAAGTAGCTCCAAGGACTTCTGCAAGATTATTTGCAGCATCAGACATGCTACCTCTTAAAATACTAGAGAGATAAGGATGTTTAGCAAGGGATAGAGATATAAGGAGTGCTTCCACCAAGAAAACACACCCGTTTTTTCTATCTGAATTAAGACAGCTGTTGAAAACCATGGAGTAGCATTGAATGGCAGCCCAGAACAGGGAGCCAGGACAACTACCACATGCAACTGAAACTGCCAAGGGATTAAGTTAGGTCAACAGTAATTACACAAACTGGAACCTGGCCAGGGTACTGGTTGGTTTAAGAAAATTAAAAGAGGTGTTCAAAAGTTTCAGAGATGGAGTCCTCCTCCTGTTAATTATTTGGTGAGTCAGTCACTGAAGTCTCAGCATTCTGGGAGGCTGCCTGAAAAAGGGGAAAAAATGAGGCATAAACTTGAAAGGCATTAGAAGCGATTAGCAAAAGCCTTTGTTCTCCATGGCAATCCTCACTGCACTAGTGCGTGAAAGCCTTTCATGTTCATGCTGAAAAATGGCCTTAGTCCCTTTGATACTTCTGGGAGGAAGCATTTAAATTTACAAATATCCCACTGTCAGAAGTTACAGCCAACAGTCAAAGAACTTCTACATCTCCCAGCCAGGTTGTACCTAGCTCTAAACCCAGCTCTCAAGCAGGCAGAGCTCCTGCTAAAGGAAGGAATGCAAACAAGGACACATGGAAGCTCACTGCGACCTAGAGCAGTACCTACTCTACTTGCTACTGATTTATGAAAGCCAGGTCATGCAGAAAAGGACCTTGCAACCATATGGGTCCATGTCCTCCTCAGCTTCATTCAGTTTTCAGAAGATGGGGAGCATGAAAGGCAGGCAATGGCAAGGAGGCCAGAAAGGATGCTTCATGGTCTAGTAGCTGTCACTCTGATTAAAGATTAGGTCCTGTTCATGCTTCTGCCATAAACCGCCTGAGCAATAAGAGGAAAGTCACATACATCAATTTTTTCAATATATTTATTGCTGTGCCTTTTCTGGCTAACTAAAAACACAGAAAGACCATGTCCAGAAGAGAAAAGAACTAGCTGTAATGAACTGAGATTCTCCGTTCAATCTCTAATTGCAACTTGTACTATAACCACGTATAGCACTACAAAACACAAACTGTTATGAAAACATAGGCCTTGTAAGTCTCAGTTTTGGCACCTGAAAGTAGTAGATGCCTTTGCTACATCTGCATCTGAAAATCATCATTAGAGGTGCACTCATTACTGTCTTTGAAGCAGTTGGATGCAACAATAAAAGCAGTACTGAATTGGAGATTAAACTTTTTGGGTACCAGCCAGATGTTCAGATGATGGTTTATTTAATGCACCTTAAATCAATTTTTGACTGATGTGGAAAAAAAAAACAAACAAAAAACCAACCAACAAAAAAAAAACAAAACACCCCCCCCCCAAAAAAAACAAAAACAAAAACACAACAAAACCCAGAAACCCATCAAGCACACTGCGTGATGTGGTTTCCTCTCAGCGCAACAGCAGGTGAACACACACTGAAGCCTCTGCCATATTGACTTAATGCACTTTTTTTTTTCCTTTTCAGAAAACAAGCCAGGGAAAGGCAGACATCTCACAGCACAGACTGGTGCAATTTGTGCTAATGGCCTAAGTGTAGATGCAAGCAGCAGCTTGTTTCTCTTCATGTGGAACAGTCAAGGGGGACAAGTTCTGGTGGGACAACTGCTACCATGGCACACCTTGCCCCCGCCCAGCAACATCTCCCTCAGTGGCTCTGTAATGAATGGGCAAGAACTAAGAGCATAGCAGAAAGCCTGCGCTGTCATTCAATGATGTGCAAAAACCAGGGGCAAGTAACTACGGGAAAAGGTTATGTTCTCTGCTGACGATACACAAGCTATTGCTCTTCCAAAATGGAGTCAAATGCTCTTCCAGACAGCAAAACTACAAACACCCTAAATCCTTCATCCCTGGCACTCCTCTGACATGGCGAGTCACTTCCTTAGAGTCCTCAGGCACCACAGAGACAGCAAGGACAAAGACTTCTTTTATGAACAGAAGCAAAATGGTACTGCAGTTCTTCCCATTCTTTCCAAACACCTTCTAACCAAGCCTCCTCTGAAGCAGGTCCACTGCTTTAACCGGAAAGACCTGCAAAAAGAGGTTTTGATGGAAGCAGAGACCTAGCCATGGGAAAACAGAGCCAAACCGGTACAAGTCAGAGAACACCATAAGTAGCAGTATTATAATGTTTTTTGAGTTTAAAATATTCAGCAAGGTCAACACACTTATCTCCAGGCCTGCAAACGACTCATCAACAGCATCATGCCAAAGGCAGCCACCTCACCTGTGCTGGGACTCTCCGGCAGAGCCACCAGCACTGCCAGCCCCAAGCACCCTAATTAGCAAAAGGTAGAGAGGGTGCTTAAACAGCAATGTCAATGCCCTTAACAGTGGCATTAGGATGAAAAGCTGTGCAGTGTATCACCAGGGCCAGAAGCACTCTCCTGGCTCCTCAATGCACACCATCACTGTACCTCATGCGAGCACTGTTGCAAGTAAGGAGAAAGGTACAGGACTGATGCTACGGAGACCACAAAGAATATATTTTTCAGCATGCCCACCCACACTAGGCCAACCCAGCAGAGGCTGGGGAGAGCAGGACAGCCTAAAGGGTTTCATGTCACAGAGGGACCCACTGCTAAGAAAAAAGGCAGCCAAGGTAGCCAGACTGTACAGGGGGAGGTCTCCCTGCAGTGGCAGCAGTGATTAACTATTACTAATAATGGCATGTAGTGCTTGAAACGGAGCACAAGGAAATGGCATGGAAAGGACTAACGCCAAGCAATAATAAGAGGGAGTCAGGGCTGTTGCTCAAGTAAGAAGGTTTTTTCACCTAGGCTACTTGTTAGGACAAAAAAAAAAAAAAAAGAAAAAGGAAGTTTCCATATGCAGGGACATCCTGTTCACTGTATTAAACTAAAGAGATGGCTCAAGAGGGAACAGCTTTCGGTAGGCAAGGGGGGGAAATCAATTTCAGGTTGCTACGGACTACTAGGCTGTCTCCTGTAAACTAAATCAGATTCACTTCTATGAACCTGAATGCTAAACATTTCCTGAAATACAACACACACACTCTCCAAATAAATGAATACCATAAAATACAGACTTGTGTCATGTTCCAGCTTTTTTGCTGATCTAAGGACGTGATCAAACCTGCAAATTATTGCAAAATACAGGACTAGAGTTTTGGCTCAGCAGTGGCATTCTGTCAGTTCAACACTGACTACTGCCTTTCAGGGAAAAGATATTTAATGGCAGGGTGGCATTTGGCAAAAGGAACCAGAGCAGTGCCCAGATTCACTTCGCTCTGGGCCCTTTCATGTGCTCTAGGCTTGCTGCAGGACCTAAAAATTGTTCTGCTGATCCAGGCTCAGTTAGCAAGGGCCAGAGAAAGCTAGCAAGGGCCTAGGGATTTCAAGCACATCCTGTCCTAGCTTTGTCAAGTATGTTGTAGATAGTCCTTCACCGTGAGGGTGATGAGGCACTGTCACAGGTTGCCCAGAGAAGCTGTGGTTGCCCTGTGTCTAGCAGTGTTCAAGGCCAGGTTGGACAGGGCCTTGAGCAACCTGGTCTAGTG